AAGTTCGCAAGTGGTCCAGTGTTATGGATATATGTTCTTCGTCATGGCGATCCAAACGGTCGAGCATCACGGAATCAGCACCTTTCGATAGAAGCACGATGTTACCTCCTGGAAGGCGCACGATCACCGACATGCGTTTCCGGGCGCTGCTGAACTCCAGCACATTTAGAAGCTCGTAAGCATTATCAGCAGTTTCTCCTTTGGTTCCAGTTATCTCCCTCACATATAGAGTAGTCGGGGTCTTCTTGTAGAAAACATATCCAAACTGCTGGGCCGCCACCACAAGAGCAGTCTCATCGGGAGACTCAGCGCGATACTGGATAGATTTTGGATCCGCAATATCACCCTCGGGTAGCGCTGTGTGGCAGAGAGCGAGCGTCTGGAAGAAAAGCTTAATCCTGTCGGCATTCTCCTGTTTCAGCCACTTCCCATCCATCAACCGGTCGTCCTGGAAGTTGAACCCCTTCACAACCGGATCACTGGTGTCAGCATCCTCGGCGTGGGCCTCCAGGAAAGGTATTCCCAGCCTCTTGGACGCTCTTTCAACGTCTGTAGATCCCGTCCCATATGAAGTCCCATCGATGGTACACTTGCAAAAATCCATCTGGTTGGCAGTGAGCGTTCCAGTCTTGTCGGACAGGATGGTATCCACTTGTCCAAGTTCTTCGTTCAACCCGGAAGACTTCACTTTCGCAGGCCGGTCAGTCTCCTCGTCGTACATGCCCAGGTCCTGGCCAATAAACAAGGCTTGGATCACTCGGACAATCTCCAGCGTGACGTAGAGAGAGATCGGGATAAGGTAGCCATATAACACCAGGCCGTTTACAAACGCGATGATACCAGCGATGGCTGCTCTCCTGGGATTGTAATAAGGATTGTCCTCGAAAGGCCTGAAGTAGAACAGCCTCGACAGTCGGAACCTCGTCAAGAGGCCACCTGCTAGACCCGTTGCCAAGCTCATGACGAAGAGTATCCCAAACATAACCCACATGATGTGATCCAGCTTCTGGTCCATGCGGCTGCGTTTCGACGGTGGATTGATGGCGTTTCTCATGACTTTCGTGTCCCGTCCCGCGTAAATCACCACCCCGTATACGTAATCCGTGTTTTGGAGGCAGGAGTCCCTGAGAAGCACCTGCGGCGGTCCCATGGGAGAAACCTGGCCATTCGGAAACTCCAGCCTGCCGCTGAACGTATAAAGCGAGGCGTTGGGAGGCTCGCACTTCAGAACCGCATCAAAGTCCTTGAAGCTTTCATCGCTAACCAAATGACATGTACTTTGCGACGCTTGTCGGACCTGCCTATCAAACCACAGAAACGAGATTACTCTTGTTCACTCAAGGAATAAGCCAGACGTCACCTTTAAGTTAGTCTCCCCGTCGAGGTTCTTCGTCTCAACGTAGCACACTCCATCGGAATTGCTGGATTGCAGAAGCAGTAGATCTGCGGGGAAGAACTCCTTGTCCTTGACTTTGACCACATCTCCGACCAGAAGCTCCCTCCACAGCTTCACTTGTGCCGTGCCTCTCGTGCAACATGTCACGGGCCTGGAATTAATCTCACGATCCCCTCGTGCTCGACGAACATCCTCCCAGAGCTCTCTCGCCATGCCGAGGGCAATGACGAAGAGAAGGGGCAAAATAACGCTGACTGGTCGGTATGGACTGAAGGGCGTTAGCGACAGCCCCGCCATAGCCGTGAAGTACCAATAAGCTGCTCGCCGATACTGCTCAAACAAAGATCTCGGTACGAAACTGTACCATGTATACTTTGTAGTCCAGGTTCTATTGTCTGGATACCTGGAGTGAAAAGGATAAAGAAACTTACAGCGAAACAAGAGCTAAGATCGCCATTCATACCTGAAAGGGGCATTGAGAGGCGGATTGTTGCAGTGGACTTCATGCTCGTCTCCATCAGCAATCGCCAGTAGATCCTCCGCATCCCCACCGCGCTTAGATCTTCCACTCCAGCATTTCCTCGCACTCTTCCATACGTGCACAAGGAAATCCGGCCCCATAACTCGGCCTCCTACAAGCAAAACTTCCTCCTCTTTACTGTCAACGAAAAGCCTTAAAAGGAGAGAGGAAAGGGGCACGGGCCGCTTCAAAGCAAAATAACAAGTCAGAGATCCCAACTTCTAGAACGAGTAAGCAACCTCCTCCAGCAATTGCGCGCTCTTTGACACGAACTTGCAAGCATCAAAGTCAACCGGAATGGCAACGTGCCGACAAGGCATTCATGAAAGTTCCATGAAAAGGCTTTCGTGTGAGCAAGTGGAACCCAAACAGCGTGAACACATGGACCGCATGAGCGAGGTGCCGGACGAACGAAGGCAAATTTATGCCCAAGGCAACAACGAAAAAGAGGAAGGAACTCCGCAAAGGAAGAAAAGAAAAAAAGGGCCCGACTCCCTAACAAGGACGCTAGACTGCTAAAAATCTCTCCAAACCAAAATGGGGAGGAGCGCCACTATTCCTTCTGGGACTTTGGACGGGCAAAGGGCCAAGCCACAAGAAAACAAAGCAAGGGGCGGCGGCGAGGAATGGGGGAACTGCATTTTCGTCCGGCCATACCTCAGAGCGCGTTGGCGGCAGCCTTTGTTGATCCGTCGCGCGGCGACGACCATAGCCATGGCGCTCTCACGGATCCAGCGCCCCTCATTCTCCAAGATATTAGGGTAAACTACTCCGTCGTCGTCCTCCTCGTCGCGCGCGAGCAGCTTCACAGCGCCTTCGCCACGACCTAACAATCGCTCTCCTCTCTTCTTTCTCTCCCTCTGAAATTCAAAACCGATAAATCCCCCTATAAACCCTAGGCATATTCCAAGCGGATATGCCCTTAGTCGTCGCCACGTTTGCCTCTTTAGACGTGCACTCGTCAAAAAGAGATCGAGGCTCGACCGTGACATTCCACGTAATCACGCAACATGAGGTTTTGGTGATCAAAGCAAGCTAGAATTTTTCTCCTCCTTCGTTTTTTTCCTTTTGGGCTCATCCAATGGTGACGCTCGGAGGATCAAATCCTTTGCTTCGTCGTTTGCGATCATCATCTTCTCATAGCTTTAAGATGATCTCGATTTGCTTTGGTGGTGACCTCCTTGTAGCTTTGATCGAATCGCTTCGATCACGCCTGTGACGATCCTCTCTCGTTTTCTATTTTTTTTTCTCGATTCACCAAACTTTAGTAGCTCTTTTCTTCCTTTTTAATTTCGGGTGTTGGTTCTTTTTCTCCTTTTTTTTTTTGGCTTTTGCTTCCACTGACGAAGAGCTGACGAAAAACATCAAAATTACCTGGGATCACTCATCCTTTCAGCGCCGGTTTGGACTCCGCGAGGCAAAGAACTCGAAGTCGGGGTGGCGGACACGGAGTCCCTTGAGCCACGAGTCCGCATGGCCCTCCAAGTTGGATGCCAGGAGCTTCTCGGGGTTTCCAGCCGACGTCCAAAACGCTCCCCTGAGCTTGTAAGATCCCAGTCCAAACGACTGCAAAACCAGCCTTTTCAAGCCATCCTCTGGCCGGATGGAACCATCGACCAAGTCGAGCCTCGCGGATCCCAGAGGAGGCTCGGGAGCATCTGAAATCTCTGATCCATTGGCATCTTCAGAAACTTTCTGTAGCACCACAGCCATTACCTTGTAAAGGAGTGGAAAGCGAGTGGAAAGTTAGAAAGCAAGTTCCCAGGTCTTTGAGAGTTGGCCCCGTTGGAATGCGATAGATGGGATACCTGGGAGTGAAAGCTTTGCGCTCAGGGCGAACAAACGAACAAGCTTGTGGACATACCAAGCTATCGAGAACCAGCTTGTCGGCAAGAGCTCGTAGCTACGGAGCGTCCTGATATCCGGAAAACTCCGTTCGAGCTCGCTAATCTGAAAAGCACGAGAAAAACATGAAGAACTTGAAAAAGTTTCAAAGCCATACCTTGCCAATCAGAGGAACGCGGCTGTAAGGCGCTGAGTCCTCGAGGTAACTGAGGAGGAGATGATCGGCCTCCTTGCGCTCCCAGTTGTCTACTTCTTCGTCATCGTCATCGCTCAACACTTCATGCAAGGCACTCAGCGTTGCGTTGCTACGTCCGCGGCAGAATCCCGTGGTCTGGCACTTCTTCCAGAAGGACGTCCGGATGGGACCGATCCCCTCCACACTGGATTCACTGTCATTGTCGCTGCTCACATCACTGTTTGAGTCACGGTAGTCACTGCTCTCGCTAGCATCACTAGAGTCATGGCAAAACTTCCTGCTACAAGAACACAAAAGCCGCTTAGAACAAGAAGCTGGCGAAAGCAAAGAAACGCGAGAAACGACTTACCTCGAGTTCAAGCAACGCCTCAAACCCGTCCTTGTGTAGAGTTGAAGCGCAGAAAGGTATGGTACGTAGTACTGCACCACTTCCTCCTTCCCGTTTAGCACCAGAGGAACTCCAGCTCCATAGGCGCTCCACTCGTCAAAACTATCCCACAAATCTCCCAGGGTGAAAAAAGGGATGGATTCCACATTGGCCGGCCTCCATCTCTTGACACTGCTGTCCCAAAGACAAGTCTGCAAGAGAGAAGAACAAAAAAAGAGAGAGAGAAGAACCATAAAAAAGAAAAGAGAACCAAATCCTCGTTAGCTCATCGCTAGAACAAAATGCCAATGCCACACCAAACCTTTGGCAGACATTGCAGTTGTACTTTGGGCGTTGTGTGGTGTAGAAATTGGTCCAGGTTTGATGACGACGTCGAGGCCTCGCTCACTTGCCGAGATTTCTCGTCTGGAATGATCCGTGGCGCTGATGCCACCGCGGTCGGCCTGGAAGTTTTGCAAGGGGAATTCCTATTGCCATCGCCACAGCAGCAACAGCAGCATCCTCCTCCCCCTTTTCCACCCAATTTCGAGGCTATGTTGTGCTCAATTGCAACATCCGACATAGCCACTTGCTCTATTTGCCCCACCATGGGCAATCCTAAGCTAGAAATTCGTACTACACTACCACGATTCTACCCGGATCGCAAGAAATCCACAATGAAGACCGCGGCACCAGCGCGAGCTATGGAATCAGGATTAAAACCCTACCTCTTCGTCTCCCCAAAGACTCTAGCAGCCAAGCACACAAAAACAACACGGGAGAGAGAGAGAGAGAAAGAGAGGAAACTCGCCATCGAGGGTTAAGTGTCGGGCATATACCAGTAACACGTGGCAGAATATTCCGGGAATAGTTCGTGTGCGAGTATAATGTGTGCCCCTTATTTTTCTCTGTGGGTTGATTTGCCTAAATGGGCGACCTTTCCACGATACAAATCCAAATCCCAGTGATCCACATCGGCGTATCATCACGATCGATTTCTTTGTCAAGGATTTGACCGAGCCGATAACGCTATCGCTTGAACCTAGGGCTGACGTCACCAGGGGTTAGGGTTTGCGTGGCTTTCCAAATCCAAACGGGGAAAAGGTGGGGGGAGATTAGAAAGAATGGCCTGTCCACGCCGAAGTAGCCGATGGTACACGGCCAATGAGGTGAAAGAGCACTGCACGCTTGGCGATTGCTGGGTCACGTCCCTGGGAACCGTCTATGACGTTACCAAGCTCATCCCAAAGAACCCCGGCGTCCTTGGCAAGGTATCCTATTGTCTATCCTATTGTCTCTTCCAAAATGCGATTTTTTGGCTTCCATCGTCGCGATCTAAGCTTTGGCTTGGCCTTCTCGTCAAGTGTGTGCGCAGTTGCTCGTCTACGAAGCCGGCGGTGACATAAGCCACTGGTTTGATGCCAAGACTGGCAGCGTCAAGCTCTACCGGGATCCAGTCTCCAACGTCGAGACCTTCGACGTTCCACAGGTGATGATAAGTTTTGCTTGCCAGAGCTCTCGCCGAGGATCTGTTGGTGTCACTGCTCGCAGGGGCGATTCGTTCACATCCCACCGACGGGACCCCGGACGGACTGGAACAGCGGCTACCCCTTCGACTGGTGGAACGATCCCGAGTATATCATCGGGAAGCTGAGCAGGAAGACCCGGATGGTGAGGATCAAGAACGTTCTCATCGACCACGAGATCCTTCTCGAGGTAAGCTTTTAAGTTGGCAAAGTTTGTTCCTTTTTCTCGCCTGATTTTCTTCAACTAGGTGCCGTCCGAGGAGAATGTGCAGCACATCCTCGAGCGTTATCTCGCGTACAACGCGCACGCCAACAGCTACACCTGGAAAGCAATGTGTGTAAATGACAAGAAAGAGTTTGTCGACTTGAGCATGGAGAAGACACTCACCGAGAACGGGATAGCCGACGAGGCCGACCTGTTTGTGTCCCTGGGCCTAGCATCGTACTTTTACATCCCGGTCGTCCACATCTACTTCAACGATGACTTAACAGTTGCCTGAGACGTTTGCGCTCTTCGTTGCCGGCACCTGGAACTTTGCAATGAAGAATCCGATTGTATCGACTGGACTGGACGGATCAAATCTTTGCACTAGATATTGCTCTCCTTCCTTGAGCCATTCCCTGTAGTTCAAAAGCAGTAACTTTTGCCTGCTCTTAAAAGTAAAAAGATCATTGTACCTGTAGCCACGACCATCATAGACACTCGTTCCTCCGACAAGCCCCGGGCCTCCAATTTTTGGCACCTGGCGCAATTAACTGTTTGACTGTCTAATCTGATCAGAAAAGAACTAACTTTTACCTGATCCACAAGCACCAAAAACTTATACTTGTCTAGTGCATAACGCACCAAAGCTTCATTCTCGCCAGGATTAATGGTGCACCTGCACAAAGTCCTCCACGAAACATCAGTTTACACACAACACACTGCACGACTTACGTGGAATACACTAACGTTCCGCCCGCTTTCACAAGTTCCACGGCTCTGTCAAACAGCCGACGCTGGTAAATCGCATGTCGTCCCAGAGATTCTAACGTTTCCTGTAAGAAAACGATAACAGTTTAATCCCAGGAAAAAACGATAAGTACGTCACCTCGGCAGCAAAAAGACGTGGCCTCAATCCTAATGCCGAGCATGGTGCATCGAGTAAAACTCTGTCAAACGAGTTTGGAGGAAAGCTTTTTATCATGTCCACTCTGCCTCCTAAATGCTGTCCTCTTCCACGGCCGTTCTTCAGTCTCCGGGATTCTTTTCTTTCACGAGCTTTACTTGTATATTGACTAGTCGGTGGAACTTCAGTCTCAGGGGGATCACCCAGAGTTGCCATAAAGCACTGGATTTCTGCACGGCCAAAGTGAGAGATATTTGCAAAAAAAAACACAGGCATAATTGCACGTCAGACCTTTCTCTAAAGGCTGTGTCAGCGCTAGCGAAGATTGCGCATCGGAATCCACCTGGACAGATTTCAAAGCGTCTAATTTGAAAGCCTGAATGCAGGACAATCCAAGTTCCTTCGCAAGGCTTAAAATTTCCAGGACCTGGTCGGACAAGTCAGAAAATCGACAAATAAATGGTATTTTCTCACCTTGTTATGTGTCCGATCCAAAGCGATCACTTCTCCAGTATTGTTCATCAGAGAGGCAATAGCAGTCGTTTTACCACCCGGGGCAGCACACATATCCAATATCCTCTCTCCGGGCTGTGGATCTGGACAAACCTTAGTTTTATTTTTTCATCGATTGATCGTGAGAAATCTAACATACCGAGGACAATGGCCGTGACAATGCTCGGTAGATTTTGTAAGAACACCCCTCCTTCAAGTATTCCTGAGACACAAGCGTAAAGCCAAGAGCAGAAAGGCTGTTTATATTACCATGAAAGGCAGGAAGGTTGTAAATCCGATCTGTCATTTTAACTGCAATGCCTTGCCTTTCCCTGAACAACGTAGGCCGGGACATCATCGCGCGGCCTTTCCCGATAAACCAGTCATATGGACTGCCTCCAAGAGCTGCAAACCCGGAAGAATAAGTCAAAAAACTATATCAGAGTGGAAAATACTTTACATGATTCCCAATCGCTCAGAGGTATAGTCGTCCCTCGAGTAACCCCATTCGACCATTTCCCCGCGCTATCCTTGACTTCAATCCTCGCAAAAACTGCTACCGAGTCACCTTCATCGACATGCTCGCTACAAGCTAAAACACCTGGAACAAAAACCTTTCACGCTGTCGTTAAAGACTATAAGAGAGAAACGCGGAACAAAAAAACTCTTACCTCGGCACCACGGAGCACAGCTTCCGCACACTTTCTACTAACCATTACGATCTTTTGTACCTCGTCGTCATAGCTCACGTCGCAAGGACCACGGCCAGGCACAATCACCACATTTTTAAGCAAGGGATGCTCGTAGCAAGTCGTTCCTTCCGCTTCCTTGCTCGATAAGAATTCCTTGAGCTCCGCGATAACGGCGGCAGTACTTGTTTGCATCGCATTGGCGCGAACACAGCAGTACGTAGAAGGCCGACTGCGTTGAAACAAAACGTCAGTAAAAGGTTTTCAAAACTAGAAAACTTTCAAGGCAAGAAAAACCAAGTAAAGTCTCTCAAAACTCTCGAAAACCAGAGAACTTTCAAAGCAAAAAAAACTAAGTTTCTCAAAACTCTCGAGAACCAGAGAACTTCCAAGGCAAGAAACTAGAAAATTAGAAACCACTAGAGAGCATCACGAAATTTGCAAAACAAGGCAGCAAAATGCCCAAGCATTCTATAGGAATCAAATCTATCCTTCCAAAACTTACGTGAGCGCGTCACAGATTCGAGAGAAGTGATCCGCGCCATAAGCCTCTCTAAGGTACTCGTACACTGCTGGATTCCACAGCAATGCCGGCCTATAGCCGAGCTTGCGCTGCATTGCGCGCCCCGAATCGAGCAAAGATTTCCTAAAGCCCTAATCCCCGCTAGCCCTATTTTTCGATTCCCATTGCCCTAACTAACGACCCAGTGCCCGTGAATTCTCCACAGGAATCGCAAGCGCCGTCCATGCTTTCCAGGTCTGTCTCCTCGATTCCTAGCGACCGATCGTCGGCTCCAGGGCCAGCGCCAGCGCCCTAGCCAATGGATTTCGACGTCTCCCTCTCGCAAGCTGCTAGATCCAAGCTTTTCGACAAGAGAGCGACCAGATGATTGGCGATGGGCAGGAATCTCAGCCTGGGATTGACAATGCAGCGCCTCTAGAGCGCCAGAAAGGTTCCAAGAGTCTTTAGCGTAGCAATGCAGCGTCTCTAGAGAAGGGGAAAAGCTCCAAAGGCTCCATTCTAGCGCTGTAAGATAGGAGATCTATGGGGAACTGTCTGGGCGGTGGTGATGAGAAGAAGCAATCAGCGAGGCAAGCGCTGGTGGCCAACGTTCTCGGGCAGCCTCACAAGGACATCAAGCAGCAGTACACGATTGGAAGGGAGCTGGGACGAGGACAGTTTGGAGTGACTTATCTTTGCACCGACAAGAAGAGCGCTCAACAGTTTGCCGTCAAGACCATCTCCAAGCGCAAGCTCATGAACAAGGACGATGTGGACGACGTCAAGAGGGAGGTTCAGATCATGAAACACTTGACAGGGAAGGATAACATCGTGGAGCTCTACAGCACTTTCGAGGACAAGTCCACCGTCTACTTGGTGATGGAGCTCTGCCAGGGAGGTGAGCTCTTCGACAGGATAGTCTCCAAGGGCCACTACACCGAGAAGGCTGCTTCGGCGGTGTGCCGGACGATTGTCAAGGTGGTACACACTTGTCACTCGCACGGAGTGATCCACCGAGATCTCAAGCCCGAGAATTTCTTGCTGGCCAACAAGCGAGAGGATGCTCCCGTCAAGGCGACGGACTTCGGCCTCTCGGTGTTTTTCAGATCTGGTATGGAACTAGTTCCTCGTTTCTTCTGGTTTTCTTCCAAGATTTGATTTTGACAAGTTGAGGTGGTGGCTTTGCAGGGCAGGTGTTTAGAGAGATTGTAGGCAGCGCTTATTACGTAGCACCCGAAGTTTTGAAGAAGAGTTACGGTCCCGAGGCTGATGTTTGGAGCGCTGGTGTTATTCTCTACGTTCTCTTGGCTGGAGTTCCTCCGTTTTGGGCAGGTTAGCTAGTTTTTGATAGTTTTCTGTCCAGCGTTTCTCATGGAGTTTTCTTTCGCAGAGACGGAGCAAGGAATTTTCGAGGCTGTTTTGAGAGGGCACTTGGATCTTAATGGGAGTCCATGGCCGACCATCTCAGCGAGCGCCAAGGATTTGGTAAGAAAGATGCTGAAGCAGAATCCCCGAGAGCGTTTGAGTGCTGCTGATGTTCTTCGTAAGTTTGAGGCACGTTAACTTTGGTGACTACAAACGCATCTAATGACACGTCTCTTTGATAGCACAGAACATCCGTGGATAAAGGAAGACGGAGACGCGCCAGACAAGCTCATTGACGGCGAAGTCTTGTCCAGAATGAAGAACTTCTCGGCCATGAACAAGCTTAAGAAAGTCGCTCTCAAGGTCTGCAATCTTTTCTTTATCTTGGTCATAAGCTCTCAAATCTTTGCTCCACCATCGCAGATAATTTCTGAGAGTCTCTCCGAGGAGGAGATCATAAAGCTTAAGGACATGTTCAAGCAAATGGACACAGACAACAGTGGTACGATCACATTTGAAGAGCTGAAAGCTGGTCTGGCAAACCAAGGCTCCAACATGATCGATGCTGAGATCCGGCAGCTAATGGAGGCTGTAAGTATCTCTCACCACGGATGTGTTCGAAAGCTTCTTTCTCACTGCAAACTTGCTCAAGGCGGATGTCGATGGAAACGGGACAATTGATTACTTGGAATTCATTCAAGCGTCGATGCATCTAAACAAGATGGACAGAGGCGACCACTTGCACGCAGCGTTTCAAAACATCGACACTGATGGCAGCGGGTGAGCCGATTTTCTCATGGTTATGGAAGAAAGTTATAACTTCTCCATAGGTACATTACTATGGAGGAACTGGAAGCCGCTCTAGTGAAGCATGGACTCGGCGTGGAAGACGCGAAAGATATCATCAAGGAAGTGGACACGGACAATGTAAGTTTGTGGATCTCATTTACAAAATGAATGGTAGGCGATTCATGCAGGATGGGAGAATAAACTACGACGAGTTTTGTGCGATGATGTTGAAGAGGAACACTCCTCCCGCTGGAGCAGGCCACAGGAGAAGCATCAATGATCTTCCGGTTGGGATAAAGAAATAAAGAAACTCAAACCACAAGCTCCAAGATCGAGCTCCAGACCACTCGGTTTTGGAGCTCCGATGCCTCTCTGCATTATCCAAGTCAGATTGAATCATAAATCTCATCACGTGTACAATTTCTAAGATTCTTTCTACAAGAATCAGAAACAACCTCATCATAATCAAGGATCACTGGATTAAAGCTGACAACTAGAGAGGAACTTAATTCATTTGTAATTAGTGTTTAATGCTAATAATTTCTACTAAGTGATAGTTCCTTATCAGTCCATCACGACAAAATAAACACCTTATATGGCAGATCTCCTCAGTCCCATCCTCTGGATTACCTACAAAATTGCTAGATCCCAGACTAATCTTTAAGAATATAATGTACCTGACTAAAGCTAGCCACTAGGACAGAGTGAAGTGTAGTGCACCTTGTGAATTTTAACCCTTAAAGCTATCTAGAGAAACTAACAAGGATTGCTAAGAAGCATTGGTATAGGCATTTTGCTTCATATGGGAGTGTCTTATGCTAGTGCTGAGTTCTTGTTTAGTACTAATGCAACATTCCAATAGGCTCACAACAAACTAGTAAATACTACCATAAATGTCATACTTCTAGTGGATTTAGTGTTTCTCTGAACATTTGAGCATCCTCAATCAACTAGGTGCTAACATGCTAAGGGATTTCATCTTCAATGCAAGGTTAATCTCATAGACTCAGATGATAAAAGTACTCAATTGTTATTGAACTATATTAGTATTTATTGACACTTTAATGCATTCAAACATGCTATTATAATTTATAATAATTTCTTAAATATTGTAATTTTTTTAGAATATAAAATTAAATAGAGGAGATTTACTTATTATTGTAATGAGGGTTTAGACCCTGATTGAATGTCAAATATATGGTTCATAAAATTAATGTATTATCTAGATAGAGTAATATATGTTTACACACACAGAGATCCATATATATATATATATATATATATATATATATATATTACACCATCCCCCCTTTAGATGATGAGAAAGTTTAAAGAAGTTAATTATGGTGGAACATCATTTAGAGCTTCTGCTAGGCTATGGCATAGTGACACAAGAATCTAAAACTCCTTAGGATCACCAACATTTACAATATAGTTGTTGATAAAGAACCTAAAGCTATGGAACAAATATCAGCCAACTATGGATTCCCAATAAATCAATTGCAACCTTGTACAATCATTAATTGCTCAAATCAACTTTTAAAATATAGCTTTGAACTAAAGCAAGGGACTTTAGTAACCATTATAATCCATAAAACACTATTATAGTAAATAGTATATCCCATTTCTAAATTTTCCATCAACTATTCTTAAAAATCATTATTAACTTGGAGTCACAACCAATAGAACTTAATTTTACATCTTTTTGGTCAATTTCAAAGACTTATATTAACTCAAATTCATGACTTTTGTTCTCATCTAGTATTGCACATAAGAGGTCAAATGCACTCCATTTATCTTCCAGATCCTTCTTATCCCCTCCTCAAAGATTTTTTTTTTAAAAGCATTGACTTTGTTTAAATTTGCTACACTTATTTTCAATTAACATCTATACTCAACTTCACTCCACTATCATATTTATTTGCATTGCATTGAAGCTAAATATCTTTTTTGGATTTGTTATATTGTCCTAACTCCACATTTTATATTATTCATCCCTTCTCTAAAGAAAAAAATTGAGGAAAAAATAAAAAAGCAAGAAAAATTGAGGGAAAAAAAGTGGATAGAAAAGCATTCAAAGAGGAATTTTTAATGCCTATCAAAGTAAAAATAGGGAAATAAAAAGAAGGAAATATGATTCAAAAAGGAAGAATATACATGATTTATTCTTTTGTTCTCTTTTAGATTTAAATATGTGGTATTTTCTAAATTTAGGATTGTGGCTATCATCACAAAAGATCATTAATTATCCCATTAATAGAGATGTAGAATCAACTAAATAAAATAGTGATGCTTTATTTCGTTAAAGTGGGACTTTTCATTATCCCACTTATGGTGTGTGGCTGTCGCGAATGTGACTTCAGGTATCGAAAGTTACCTGTCGGCCAGTCCTTACGGACACTCTTACCTTACTGCCACGATGGCAGGAGGTCGGTATTGCTGGACCCGTTATCAGTTCCCACTTGAGCTAGTTGAGAAACTGGTCAATGACCATGCACTTAAATTGGATAAACATAAGGTAGGAACCCTATGTGTTTCTTGCTGAGCATACTCGGCCTGGTTTGAGAAACTTGAGTCATTGGCTTGCACTTGCTAGTATCAAGAACCCCCGCGATATTGAGATTGGTCCCTCAACATCGCTAGATGATAGCTTACCGTGTCTGCCAAACACCCTCGCTATCATGCCCTTTGTGTTAGTCTCATTTTGGTCCCAAATGCTATTTATGGAAAGTGTCCAGATTTGCTCATTTGGCATATCTACGGAATGTAGAGATCGTCCTGAACACAATGGTGTTCGTCCCATGTCCAAATTCGCAATCTAGGGACATTCCATATTTAGTAAGTTTCGAGCTTGTCCCAGAGACTAACTCCTGATACTAAGGGAGGCTTGGGGTGAAAGCCCAAAGCGTGTGTTCCTCAAGGGGGGGGGGGCTGTGGGGGGTTCCAAATGTATAGTAGGGATAGTGGGTAGGTCGGGCATGGCCGACCAACCTGAGGCATAG